TTGACGGAGAACGGGCTGGCGCCGCGCCAAACCCAGCCCCTGACCCAGCGTCTGCAGCGAAAACGACTGTATAGTGAGTGAGACGTTCAGAAACACTTTTTGCGGTAAATGGATAGTGTGGAACAGGGCGGAGACCAATTATTCTCTATCTTTTTAATGCTCCCCTCTTTGTGCAGAGACGAGAAATGGTGCGTTACTAGGAAAAGTGCGTATTACGTCGGGTGCGAGTCTCCACCCATTTGTTTATCGCGAAATAAGCCTTAACTTTGATCACCCTTTCTCAGACCTTACATTCTATTTCATGGAGAGAGTGCAAAAAAAGGAAGCACATCAGGTTCACACCATCCTATGAGTCTACAATGGCCTGAACAGTATTACGTCTGTGATTCGATCTAGGAATCAAGCCCAACGCTTTTCTGTTTCATATTCACCCTGAGGACAATGAAGGATTTTGCCCCTCCAAAATAACAGAGCAACAAGTTCATACCTTCCCTCAATATTCGCTTTGACGAGTTCGATTGTTCCTCCGGCTGCGACGCGTGCTGCTTTAGCACTTTCAGGACAAAGCCATAGAATCTCCTTGTCTCTAAATTCTTAGCACTTATGGAACCCAACAAATCCTCTTCCTTCTTTTGCGCGCTTACCTGCAATACTCTTCGCATTCTTCATCTGTTTTGAGAGATTCTAGGTCATCTATGAGGTCACTTGGATGAACCAGCATGAGCTCCTCATCAGTAGCCTCACGGGCATCAATCTGAATGGACGTCAGCAGAACATGTTGCCTTCGCAAGACTGGCACACAGTCACCAAGAGCTTTTTGGGTACATTCCACGTTGGTAGGATGGGCGGAGCCGGATCCTCCGTCCACTTCCATCTTTCTTGACCCCCAGCTTCTCATGATTGTACTATGGAAAGGCGCATCAATAAGGGAAGGGAAGTACCGTGGTAGGCCTCAGTCCTTTTGTACGGACAGCGTGGGCTACGCCTTTGAGGAGTAGGCTAAAAGCAGGTGGTATGTCCACAAAAATGAGGCACAGGGTAATCAAATGAAATGTGTTAGCCCACTAGATCCTACAGTGCCCGGTCCTTTCGAAGACCCACTTAGTTCGAAAGCGCTGCCGCATGAAGGGTGTTCCCTACCTTAACAGCGTCCTTTAGCAGCCCATCGTTGACCAGTCTTTCATAAATAAGAGCCATTCGTTCAGGACGTTCTGCCATTGTGTCATCATAATTGCATTTGTGCTCCAGCATTCGTTCATCGTACACATAGCCAAACGGAAGAGAAGGCATCCTGAACTGGCACGGTCGAGGGCCCCACCAACCTGCGCGCTTTTATCATTCGAAGAAAACAACACTGAAGATTATCGTTTAGCTAAAAGCGAAAGGATGAAGCATCAGGCGTCAGCCCTGCGCGGCTGCGGTTGACCCACCGCCAGCCCGTTATCCATCAGTTGCTGAAAGTGCAAATGACAACAATTGGTGGAAAACGACTGATGCGATGGTATGATACCGAAAGAAAAAAAAGGGGGGGGGTGCACGCAATCGCGCTGACCCGCCCGATCATCCACAGCGAACGAGGCCATACTTTTATGGGTGCGAACCGCTTGGAAGTTCCATGGGAAGTTGTCACCAGTATTATGGGCACAAATGTCTCCATGATTTGCCCCATGGAATGCCGGTCCTCAATCAGATGAGTGGCATGAAAACGATATGGAAGAACGGACGTTGAATTTAGACTAATTTGATCCACAGGTGAAAACCGTCCTGGTCTGA